CTCCAGGGAGATCTCGATGCTCGATGCGACCCCCCCCCCGCCTCACCATCATCATCCTCAGGAGACTCCCCAATACCACATTCCTCCTGCCCGTCCGGTCATCACATTTGCCATCATGGCTGTGGCGCGAGGAGGATGGCGGGAGGGGGGAGGGAAACGGCATTTGGGTACTTTACCCTACTTCCACGGATTTCTCCTAATACAACCTCCTTTTACCATTCCTGTCCACACTTTTCCCAAAGGTGTCGCATTTCCGATTGCTCAACCACAAAATGCGACCTCCCTCTCCAAAATCGCCTTGGTTCGAACAGGGCGAACTGACTGTTGACCATGGTGGTGGATTCTCTCACTTAATACCAGCATCGACTACATCACTGACAACATCGACCATCGAAAGGTGGACGAGGGTCGTGGGGAAGGGGAGTAGTTGTGGGCATACTCATGACGGGAGAGGGGAGTGGATAGTTTTAATAAAAAAACCCTCCGAAAAGTGACTACTCTAGGTCAATGTTTAGGTTCCACAAACCGTCAAGATCAGAAGGTACCGAAGCCTCGAATTAAATAGGACGAACATACCTCGGAGTGAGTGTGCAAGAGTGAGACGAGGGTACGGGCCTGTCCTGGGAGATCAGCAGCAATCGCACCGGGCATTGCGACATTTAGGTGTGCCACTTCCCACACGTTCGGCGACCCAATACCGACGGAATAACCGAAAAGGTTCGGATTGTATTTCTTCAGGATATCTGCAACTTTTTACGTTAAAAAGTGACAAATTCAATGATGAGTGAGAAGGTACTGACTGGGAATGGTGACGTGCTGCTCGAGAGTGCCGTCGCCACCTGCTTGGAAAGCCAGCCCTCTGTACTGCAGGATAACTGCCACTGGATCTTCAGCACCTGCTCCATTAGCAGCCTGAAGTTGTTCTAGCTCAAGGTCAATATGAGGGCCACTGTTTCTTAAAAGTGGTGTTTGCTGCTTCAATTTTTACTTTACAATGGTAAGCGCTTGTATACAGGGCTCTACTGCTGCTACTTCTACCTCATTGAAATCACCAGCTATGACGCCTGGATGGGTGTCCATAGAACGGCTTTATCGCTACCAAAGCTTGGTCCAGGCTTTGGTAGCGATGAAACCGGTGTTGCCTTGCGAAATTGCCATCAAGCCTTTATGGGATAGCAAAACCATGAAACAATGGCCATCCTGCGTGATCGACGGGATTAATATCCCTTCGAAGTTTTTGCATAGATGGTGGTAGGCACTCAATATCAACAATGAAGTGTTGATATTCTTCCTCTCGGGAAAATTTTCCAATAATGCGCTTTTTGTGAGCGCCTGGAATCAATCACGTTCTGGAAAGCGCAAAAAGGACACCAAAACGCTTACTCATGTGTTCGTCATAATCTGAGAAGTCATAACATAGCTTGAACCGCTTTTCTCAGCTATCTTGTAGATAGTAGAGCAATCGACCCCAGTGCTTGAAGATGATGTCTGAAACGAAGAGTGGGCGTAGAATTAACAACAACAGATACGAATCAGTCCCCTGAGAGCGAAGAGCGTAGACTACCTATTTATGTGAGGAAAGCTAGATCGATACGAGAACATTTCCAGCTGATGGGACAGCGTTCAGAGTTGGCAACCGTACATTCGATTAGGCGACTAGACCATAGGGAAAGGGATGCATATCGAGCACGCGAAAAGCGATCGCTCATGTGCACCTCCTTTTCAAATCATCGTCCAACGCCCAATCACCTAATCGCATTAGGATCGCCAACTCTGAACTCTACCTGACTTGAGGCGATCAACTGTAACGATAGTGTTATCCCAAAAAACTGAGGCTTCCAACAGCCTTAAAAGAGTGTTTGAAAGCGTAGTAATGGATAAGGTCACTGAAATGAAAAAAAAGGCCAGGCAAAGGGAGGCCAGTAAGGAGCCGAAAAATCAGTTTTTTTTTTTGAATAAAAAGGCCAACAAATGGGGGAATAAACGGGAAGCGACAGTCTTTCTGAGCAAAGAAAACCAAATTATCATTTGGAAATATCTGAAGTGTTCATTGAAGCCTTGGACTCACCGTTAGCGAGTCGCCAAGGGCCATAACAACTTTGATATCGGCTGGACGGACAGAGTTCACATTCTTCGGTACGCCGTCAGACTTTTTCTCATCAGAACAGGTGAACATGAATAAGTTTGGGTACTCCAGATGTCCCGGAAGAACCGCATGCTGTAAACACTACGACTTGACATCTAATAGTGTATACATGAAGAGAGAGGGGGCAAAAACAGCCAAGTCTTCCATGATTTTCATTAAATGATTTTCATTAATGATATATTATGCTTCTTAAGGAAATGTTGCCTTTCGTACGGAAGACTCTTATGAGGATGCGGTATGGTTTAAGATGTAAAGTTCAATATCAGGTGTAAAAGTCCGGCAAGAGATCACCAAGGTGTGATTTGCACTGAAAGTGATCAAATCAAAGGGATTCTTTTTCTGCCCCTCCCCTGTATGCACTGTAGCCAGCTTGATTGACAAACCTCTGACTCACAGCGAAGCGATTAGAACCACCACTGAAACATAATTAGAGATTCTTTGGATTGTCTCTCAAAAACTAGAAACTTGTTATTGAATTGTCAACTCACCGGAAAAAATCATTTTCGCCACAGGCATGAACCTCTCGAAGTGTTATCAGCGCTTTTTGTCAGCATATATTCGCAAAGCCCGTGTCGTCAATGCGGAAATGCCATTAACACCTAGTCGAAAAGCGTTTTTGGCACTAAAAAGGACAGCGCTTATTACCGCGTTATCGTTTGATGTCAGAACAAGCGACGAAAGACTAAAAGTTAAGCTGGTAATAACCATGAGCAAAAAGTAGAACCACGAGAAAACGGGCAGATGGGTGTGTCGACCAACGATCAAGCAGTCAACTATGTTCTGAGGGCGGGAAATTGAGCTGCACGAAAAGCTAGGGGTGGAACACGATAGCCTACCAGGGCAGGAGATGCGAGCCCAAGCACCTCCAAAAGCTCCTCGTTGATTATTCTCCCATGATACCTCAGCTCCTTCATCTGTTTTTACCATCGTTTCTTTTCAGGACCTCCTTGATTCGAAGTGTAATTGGTGATTCTTTGGAATGCATTCACTAGCCGTGGATAAGCTGACCAGAGGGAAACCGCGTTTGGGGAGCAAGTGGCGCTGTTAGGCGCACGATGCGGGTATCGTACGCTGCCCAGAACTCTTCATTTCCGATGTGCTGACTAGTTGATTTCACATAATAGCTTAAACTCACCTAAAAAGCCATTACTGTCCTTAAAAAACTGATCCACGCTGATCAATCCGTTGCGACTTTCCCATGCCACGCGGATTTTGTAACGCAAGCGCGACTTTGAAAACCGCCCTTTTCATCCAAAGTGCATTTCGGATAGCGAGTACTTAAAGGCACGACCCGGGCAGAAGTCGTGTGAACGATTCCATTAGGTCTGCAGAATAGACCCCTAGAGGATCATCGCAGATTGTGCATGCCTGTGTACGGATGTCACTTGAAAAGAGCGCTAGACCCCCTCACCTGTTGCTTATTCTCTCATTGGTTTAGTACAGCCGTCTATGAAGGTGAGTGAGCACTAACCGTAAGCCTGTTCGACGGGTTCTCCTTCTTCTCTTTGCTGCCGGCCCATTTCTTATCATTACGTCCTCATTCGTGTGCAAAGAACTAACCACTAATTTTTGCATCGTGGGCTATGCTTCCAATGGAAGCCGTTGGATTATTTTGATCAGTGATGAAATAGGACACGCCCGAGATGTTAAAGCTTGGCAGTGTTGATTCTTAAAGCGCAGGGGTCGGGATTAGGCGATCAAAAGAACCCGCTCTGTCGCTATTATGACTAGTCTGCAACCACAGAGGTGATGCCACGTTTGCGACTTGAAACCGCATTGTGTAAAAATTATACTGGTCGTAGTTCAGGACGAAATGAGCTTTTACCGACTTAACCGCTGGCAGTTGGTGCCCTAGGTCGGCATAAAGCTTCAATATCAGCCTGGCTTGGTGTTGGCCGTATCAGCTGTTTTCACGTAGCCCATAATGGGTTGGTTGTCGCGAAATGCGTTGGACATACGTTTTCCGAGCAGCCCTCCCGCTGTTGGGGAGGAGGTGTTTACATTTTTGCTCGACAACTTCTTCCCTTTTTCCTTCACTGGCGTTCCACTTCGCATCTTCTGGCACTCAATTTCAAGGCGCAAAAAAGACCCAATCGATTCCTACCTAGACAAAAGCACCACTCCATTAGAAGATATGAGACGATAGAGATGAAGATACGGCATGCTTTGGCATGTGAATGCCCTTCAAGAAAGAAAATCGAGGCGATTAGCGACACAGGCGTCTATGTGTTAATCGCGGTGATACGTCGTTATCCGTTCTCGATTGCCAGTGAATGAAGATGGGAACAAGTATTAGAGTGAGACGGAAGTTTCTAATGCCTTATTCAGGTCGTTGGGTAACACAGCTCTACTGACACCGTCTCCTACATTCTTCTTAGGGTAGACCTGCTTAGCCTCTCCACTGGTGGTTTCGTTTCGAAACATCTTCATCGCGACTGCTGCTTTCATCTCACTTGAATGGTTTCAGATTAAAAAACCTTCTTGGTAGAAAATATCGGCAGGAAGCAAGTTTGAGGAGAGAAGGAAACGATTCAAAAACACAAGAGACTTTGGCATTTCATCTCCAGCAAATGGTCTGCGTAATGGCGAGAAACTTTAGAGCTACAAGCAGGAAACACGTAAGTGTCTCTACTTGAAGGCATACACCACGATCAGACTAGGTAGGTAAATCGCTTGAGGAGGTAGGGGTAGGAGAGAGCAGTCCACTAGAGTCAATAGTAGTTTTTTCCGTACATTCCGTATACAGTTACTTACACTTGGAAGTCGTGGCAAGCACGTGAAGGCTTTTCCAGACAACCGTCGACTTTAGGAATGCAATACCGAACAAGAGGTTTCCTCAACGACTCCTTGAGGGTTTTCGTCTGACCAGTTACGTTTTCCTGCGCGGATATTCACACTCTTCATGCGCAATGGGTGTAGTTAGGTTATGTCGACTGGGCTCAAAACTGAATTTTATAGGAACAGCGACACGCGAGGGTGGTGAAAGGGGGGGGGGGGGGGGTCGCAAATTTTCTGATTGCGAAGGACGGGGTGTCATAAAAATTTCCGAAAAGTTCGCAACTTTAGGCTGACGCCCTGCTCTCGTGCTACTCTAAGATCCTTCCAAACCGAATTACAAAGTTCCTAACACAGACACGTGGTGTTGTGCTCTCTCGCCTATTCTCTCTTCTCTGCGCACAGTATTTCTTTTTCATAGCACAGCAAAAACTACTATTAGCAAGGTTTTAATACATACTACGTTTACAGCGAACACTTTTCCTTCGTTGTTCATTACCGTTTCTACGTCGTACCCCTTGTTTGTGCTTTTGTAAAATAAATCGTGACGTTCGGGAGTGGAGTGGACTTCCCAAGGTCTGCCTATGCCTTGTCTATACTAATCTTCTTCTTCTTATTCTTCAGCGTTTGTCCCACTCTGTGGCGGGGTCCGCTTTTCTGGTATTACGACGCCACTTTTCCCGATTATGTGCCTGATCGGGATGAAGGCCAACTAATTTCAAGTCCTCATGCAACGTATCAAGCCATCGTTGCTTCGGGCGTCCTCTTGGCCGCTTTCCTGGCACGTTAAAGTCTAGACCGATCTTACGGACACTCTCATCATTAGCGCGAAGGACGTGACCGTACCACCTCAGGCGAGCTTCGCGCATCTTATCAGCGATGGGAGCCACACCGAACCGTTTTCTGATGGCATCGTTGCGAATGTGGTCCAACGCGTGACCCCGGCAGTCCAGCGCAGCATTTTTGTCTCCATTACACTGAGACGAGCCTCAACCTCTTTAGTCACGGGCCAGCACTCTGCTCCGTAAATGGCGACTGGTCGGACGACGGTTCTGTAGATCTTAGATTTCAGTCGCTCTGGTATTTTCTTATCGCAGAGAACGCCGGTCATCGAGCGCCATTTAGACCAAGCTGCGCTCACTCGGGAGTTTACTTCAGAGACCAGGCTACCATCGGACGCGATCGCCGACCCAAGATACTTGAATGATGTTGTACGCGTGAGCTCAGTGCCATTATCTTAATCACCTACTACATAATATTTATAATTTTATTCCGAATGCACTGTAAACATCAAAATCGATTTCCATTAGATAAGGTAATGACAGGGACAAGATTCCTAAGTAGTTTCTTTACTTCGTGAAAGATTCTCAGCAGACATCGCGCCTTCTCTTTTCCAGGAACAGATTCAGCCGACTTTTGCCCAGTGTTTGTGGTGTCCACCGACTCAGCAGATCTGATCTTCGAGACGTTCGATTCGCGTGATCCTACAGTTTCTGCGCTTTTCTTGCTAGTGGCGTTTTCCGTTGTTTCTGTTGGTCTTTCCTGAAATAACGTAAAAAGAGCTTACAAATACACTTGGTGCATTCTAGCAAAGAATATGAATTTCTGATTTAACAACTCTGTTCAAGTGTAAGTCGAGCGCTAGAAGGAAATTAGGAAGTACTAAAGAAGGTGGGAACATTTGGTGCAATAGCTCGTACTGCCTACAGTAATCCTGATTCTTGTAGGGAGAGAGCACCAGGGTGTGTATGAAAGCGAAGGTGCATGTTCAGCACACTCCACACACCTCCTCGCTGTTACTAAAAATGGGATCACTGTGGGCGCCACGAATTATAGCACTGCTACCCATCCCCCGCTTCCTCGGTGCGTTGACCCAAAAATCATTTTAGGACTCCGCATGGACTGATGGTGAGTGTAGAGCTCTGAAGAAAACTGGTGCTGCCTCATCTTGATGTAATTGCCGTCTCTGTGAGGTACAGAAGGAGCCGAGAATGGAGGTTGGAATAGAGTTGGTATCTTCAGCACTCCTTCCCGTGGAACATTCTATTCCTTCTGATTTAATAGAGCATTAATCTCTGATGAAAATTTACCGTCGAATGATAAAGGTTAGGTGCTAACTTAGTTGGGGGGGGGGGGACCACGCGGCGGCGCGGCGCTCTGTTCGTCTGCTCCTCCAAGGCTTAGTCCCAGGGGCAGTTACTATTTCGCCGCCACGTGGCAGTTTCGAAATACGCGCCATCGGGGACTAAGCCTTGGAGGAGCAGACGAACAGAGCGCCGCGCCGCCGCGTGGTCTCCCAACTAAGTTAGCACCGGTTACACTGAACTCAACATGCAACCTTTAGGCCGCTGTCATAGTTTGCGAATCGAAGCATCAGTTTCGCTAGCGAATCGCTTAAAGCAACAGTCCCAGCAGGATGGGCGTGGTCGGAAACGGCTGCAATCCCCTTGGCCCAGTCCCACTTCGGAGCTCTTCAGCCCGTAGT